CATTGTGTAGACTTTGGACTATGATAAACTACTTGTTGTTACTTGCGGATGTTTATTTCGCACTCAGCCCTAACGCACTAAACTAACTTAATAAATTATTATTATTGTTATTATCAAGAAACTAATTTGATTTGCGTACCCTATATGAGATTATACGATGAAATTTATTTAAAATTGTATAAAAACTAGAACTAGTTGGTGCAACATAAATATTTCGTTTTTACACCACATTTTTCCTCAGATCTTGCCCTCATCACAGCAGAAACTAAACAAACAAAATTATTTTCGCAATTGAGGTCAACGATTCCTTTAAAATCCGCAATTTAACGATTAGTTTAGATTGGAACAATTATTTTTAGAACAATCGCACACAGTTCCCTCTTTTCGCTGAAATTTTGGGTAATACGGTCTCGGTGTGAGTATTCTGCGGCGCTGAATCCGGAGAATAAATTTTTGCTTCCGAACTCCCTCCTTAATACATTATTCAAAATTCTTTTCCTGCTTGAGGCTGAATCTCAATTTCCAATTAATTTACGAACGATCAACATTGAAATTACAGACGCGAACATTCATAATCGTTTCCCTGAATTCGTAAAATTAAAAGCAGGAATTTGCTCGCTGCCGGTTTTAGATGTATTATTTGAAATTACTTCAGAAAATTAATTTCACCAAGTTTAATTAAAACTATTCGATTCAAATTCTATAAGGCTTTTTCGGTGCGCAGATCCGCGGAAATTCCAAATTCCTTTATATTTACGTTTAAACTTCGAGCAAATCGAAACTCGGGGAAATGAACAGTTTTTTACATTACTGTAGCGGTTGGGATTTTCGTTTTCGGTTCTTTAAAGCATACAGATTTGATTTATCATATTTTTAAAATGAAATTTTTGGATTTTTGACTGGTTAAAATTTATTTTACCAGCAGTTTTTGCACAGTGACTTCATCAACGATTTTTTTTAAAGGCAATCCCAACCTCTTTTTTCGGATTCTAACAGATCTTTTTATTGGTTACATGGTCGTAGAAAAAGAGTTGGTACTTTACATCAGAATTTTTTGGGTAAAATCTTTATAAAAAAGTACAGTTCAACGAATCCAGCTTCTTCGGTGTAAAGTTTCAAAAAGTTGTAGGTAACTGTCAAGAAATTTAACCATCACTTTTTATTGCACAGGATATTAGACAAATGTTTGATTATTAATTTTTTCATAAGTTTATTGTTGCTAGTTGTGCCGCTACATATTAATTTGTATTTTTGCTTTAAATTTCTTTTTATTGCAGTATTAGGTAGTATGTATTGTACTTTCATGTTTTCTCGACGTTCCGTAAATCTTAGAATATGAAAAAGTAGTTCTCCCGCTCCGTCTGACTGTTCACTGTGCTGCACTGACGTTTTTATTACTCAGAAATTACTAATTTAACAGTTGTGAAATTTTTGATATGTTTTAACAATATTATGTAGATGGTAAAACCTTAACTATAATTTTTCTGACCTTTATATTATCACCAAAAATTTGATGACGTCATCTCATTTTTCGACCATCTTGAAAATTAGCCAAAGTCATTTATTGTTTGTAGATCTCGATCCCCAGAAGTTATTTTCGGTTTCATTTCGTCTTCACCACTTTTCAAGAGTACTTTTGAAATGTTGGAAATTATAGGATTTTTTTTAAAATACGAAGTGCCGGCCGAATATTTCAAATATTTTGGTTCGGAATCATAAAAAACCCAAATTTTTCAAATCAGGAACTTTTTGTGGATTTTTAGACCATTTTTGCAAAAGCTTAATTTTTCAATACGTGTGTTAAGAAATTTTGGACCATTTTTTGAGCATCACCTTCGAAATTCACATTTCACATTCTCATTTCTGCAGAGTCGCCCATTGAAATGTGGGAATTTTTAGGATTATTTTTTTTTAAATTCGAGTATTTCAAAAATCTTGACGTTTTTTTTTGGCAACGTTTCCGAAAACTCAATGTTTCAATACTCCTCCCATGAAATTTTTGATGATCAAGAGGGTATGTCATTGGAAAAATTAGCCTTATCTTAGCAAGTTCTATCCCCGCCCACCCACCCTTTATTTTCTTAGAGCGTATGCCATTTGGCAAAATCACTCTTGTCTTGTCTTGGAAAATACTAGCCCCGCCCACCCGCCCTTTATTTTCTTAGAGGATATGCCATTTGGAAAAATTAGTTATCTTGGCAAGTACTAACCCCGCCCACCCACCCTTTATTTTCTTAGAGGGTATGTCATTTGCCAAAATCAGTCTTATCTTGGCAATCTCTCAGATTTTTTTGTAAATTTTTTGGCAAATTTTCCAAAAACTCAATTGTTCAGTTCCTACTCGCCCTATGAAATTTTTGATAATTTTTCAACTACCCTCAAAAATTAGATAAAGATATTTATTGTAGATTGTATTATTTGTAGACTTTAACCCCCAGACGTTATTTTTGGCTCCATTTTATTGAAAATCACTAACACTTTTCCAAAATTGTCAACTGAAATATGGCAATTTGTATGATTAAAAAAAAAATATATTTTCAATTCGACTATATTTTATTTTGCATTTTTTTTGTGATAACCTCGATAATGTAAAAAATAATGCCTTGATAAATCACAACCGGAGAAAATTTTACGTTGGCGTCATCAATTTGAGGGAAAAGAGGATTATTTACTTATTCTTACTACAATAATAGTAATAGTAGCGGCCAAGAAAACACTGATTTTGGCAAATGAGATACCCTGTAAGAAAAGAGAGGGTGGGTGGGTGGGCTTAGTACCTGCTATGAAAAGACTGATCTAATGAGATACCCTCTAAAAAAATAGAGGGTGGGTGGGTGGGGCTAGTACCTGTTAAGATAAAACTGATTTTGACAAATGACATACCTTCTAAGAAAAGAGAGGGCGGATGGGCGGGGCTAGTACCTGCTAAAATGAGACGAAGTCTAGGATAAACTTAACACGGATTCGTAAACTGCAAGTGTAATAGTATGTCATTTTGTCAAATTTAAATATCATTTATTTGGCAAAATTTTGTGATAACGTTATTAATTTTTGATAAGGGATAAATGGAAAAATTCTTATTAACAATTACCATACTTCCCATAGCCTTAAAACGTTTACAAGATTTCAAGATTTTCCGGTTTTGCAGTCTCAATATTAAATTGCAGAATGTTCTTATGGAAGTAAAAACTCAACACGGATTCATAAACCACAATGTTTTAATAAAATTTTATGTTATATTTACTACTGTAAATTTTGGAGATGACGTCATTCCATCATAGGGGTGAGTGGCCAATCGGTCCAGCAGTTTCGCAGATTTTCAGCCTAGTAAAAATCCGGACAGACGGCAGGCAGACAGACGGACGGAAACGCTCGTTATAAATAAGTTAAGATTTGAAATCTACCGAGAGAGCAATAAAAACATGATCAAAGGCAGCCACGGATTTTGCATTTTCAACTCAAATTTTGAAATCCACCGTAATCTGACAAAACAAAAATTCTACCAAAGAAAAATCTTTAAAAATCCCTAGCTGTCTTTGATCGGGTTTTTTATTGCTTTCTATTTTTCCATTTAAAGGTTACGCAGCAAACTTAATTTTTTCTAGATAAATAGCCTACATACATATTTTTACAAATTTCATTCTTTGTGGAAAAATAAAAAAAGAACTAACATAACAGGTGTTTTCAAAATATTTGCATTTTTATTAAAAACAATTGACATTTGGAACTTTACAAAAATTCTTTTGATCTTCTAACCATTCCAAAGAATATGTAGTGTGTTACATTTCAATTTCAAATAAATTATGTGTAAAATTTTAACGCTAAATAAGTTTTATTAGGCACCGTCAAACACTTTTCCCATAATTTACGGGAATATATTAATAATGATTTATTAAAAAAAAAAAAAACAGGGTGTTTTATTAAAAAAAAACTTAAATATTAACATTGGAAAGTTATATTTTAGATCTTATGAGATATCAAGAAGCGTACGCGCTATATAGAATGATTCAGAAACTCTATGGCATGTTGTTAAGGATTGTTTATAGAGCAAAGAAAAAATAATTTAAAGAATCATTGGGCCTAAATATGAAAGACGTAGGCTTTCAAAGTTTAATTTTTCATTTAATATTTGACCATATTTTAATTAATGAAACTTGTATATATACAGGATGAGTCACTATCTCATTAGTCATTAATAATTAGAAATGTAAAAAAAATCTAGAACTAAGCTTATACAGGTCTTTATGGACCATTTGCTAAAATTACTCTCAACTGTAGGTACAGAGTGTTCTATTTTTAAGGCGTAACACCTAACTTAGTTTTTGCAAATAAAAACCCTGTATAATTTTATACATTCTGATTAAGTTCTTTTTAGGCTTTATAACCAGTTTATTTTTGGAAATTTCAATGCCATGTTGCCCAGTTATTCCAATTTTCTCGAAATATGTTAGCAATGTAAGGGTTTACAAAAATGGCAATAGAGTTATTTTGAAAATCTGTGTCGTAATATTTTGGAGAGATAAATAAAGACACGTGCTTTAATGTGGTATAAATAAAACTGGGTTTTAATATACAGTGCTGGATTCTTATTCTGGATTCTTAATTTATGGGGGCTGACCGTAGCCAGTGCTAAAAAAATATATATGTATATAACAATTTTCAAATATTGGTATCTGTTGTACTTGAAATGAAATCAAGAAGATATAATACAGCAAATTATTTAGTTCTGTTTAAAAGAAACTTTGATGACGTCATTTCGTCGTCATAGCAACGAATATACGCAGTTTGATCAACAGAAAAAGCAATTTCTGGGATGTATCGCCGAAATTTAATTAACAAAGATTTTGATTTTTTAATTTTTGACAGAAATCAATACGAGGAAGTGAATTTAGCATCTGCTGGTAGAAACCGACCCCAATTTCTTTAACAATGAATGGTATTCAGGATAATTTTCCGGGAACAAAGGGCGGCGAACTGTTCGTAATAAGAGAAAACAATACCTTCGAAGTCTAGCAGACTATCATCTGGCGACGACTCTGAGTAGATGGAGGAGGCGGTACCGTGCCTCGTGGTCCTTAAGGAAGCAGCCAGTGTGTTGTTGATATTGAGCAACTGGTTTCTGTTGTTGGCGTTGTTGGTTAGCTCCCGCTTCTTCGTCCTTTGAGAAGGGTTGCACCATTGCACTTTTTCTTGGCTGCTATTGATGTTATTCAGTGTCTCATCGGTCCGACCAGTGAACTCGTTGATGTCATCGTATTCTGTGACGTGCTCAGTTGTGGCGGTGAGGTTGGAAGTGAAGTTCGTAACGTTGCTATTCTGTATGGTATTAATCCGCTTAGGGGAATTTAATATGTCGTTGCTGTTGCCATTATGAATGGACAGTGGTCCGTCCATGGACTTCAGACGCATAGTTCCTTCCTGAAATGCGGAAACGGAATTAGAAAATGTTCTCGAAGTGGAGGATCGAGTTAAACTCGCATTTAAGAGCGCTTCAAATTAAATCTGAAGTCGTAACACTGTTACAAGTGTCTAATTTCATAACTTGTGACCCTATACTTTACGGACCACTTCTGGCCCAACCTAAATAAACAGTAGCTTGTTGCTAAGATTTAGATATGGAAGCTCCGTTCCTCTCAATATTCTTTTCAGTCAAGAATGCGCTTCGCCGAGTAAATATTTAACATTTGCCCTGGTTTCACGGTTCTAATGTTTATTTTATACGCGACTTGCCGGCTATTAATTTTTTATAAGGGAATTCTTTAAATTAAATTGGCTCGTCAGCCTTTAGTAGTATTGCGATGCAATTTTAATTCAGACATACCTGCCACTCTTATTATTTTATAAGCAAATTTCAGACTCCCGCTTTTTAATTTTCTCGGGTAATTTTAAAACTTTTCACCTCTACAGCGAAAATTTATGGATCGCACTTTTGATCGTAAAAACTTGCTCTATGTTCTACACTGCGGCTTCAATAAATTCTTATCATGCGTTAAGAAGTTTGCATATTTTCTAAAAACTTACCACCGTATTATACTTCTCAAGAAGCGTAAAGTCATTATTGAAAAATATGATGAGCCTGCACATCAATCTTCGTTTTTGAAAGAGTGATGTATTCCAGCACAGCGCCGTGCGTGAATCGGGATTTTGGAGTGTGGCGAAACGTTTGTATGAATATCCATTAAATAATAACGCATGATTTTCATTTTATACAGACACTGTATACCGAAGTTTGAGATATGGTATCAAAAGGTTTCATATTATAGTGTTTAATTCAATTTTAATCCTTAATTTTCAATCAAATTTAACTTAGAAAGCTGGCTAACTGAGAAATTTTCTTGAAAACTGAGGTTAAAATGATGACCTTAATAATTTTTAACTAAGAATAGCCTAATTAACTACTAATTTAGGCAATTATGACGTCTATCCATCCTTATAACACATTCATTTAAACAATAAAAAATTTAAATGATGTTCGCTGTTCTTTATCTGACACGATTTTACACTGGGATGTTGCTGTTAGCATGTTAATTTTTAACTGGGATGTTGCTGTTAATTTTTAACTGACCATACTCTGAAAATCTGTGTATCAGCAGTTTCGCACATAACTATTTAATTCAATAATGTAGTCAAGCAACAAAATAAAAAAGTCAGTATTTTTTTCTAACACATTTTTCTTTTCGAAGCTTCTTTCTTGAACTAAAACTTTCCAAATGAGTAAAGTAACTGGGAAGAATTTTTGTATCACACTTTTGAAAAATAATTAAACAAACTGTGGTCGATGTGTGAATCAAAGCTGAAAATTTTTTATGAAATCGTCAAAATTTTGCAGTAAATATTATTATTGCTAATACAGTAAATACGGTAAAATGGTAAAAGTACCATCTGATATCTAATCCTGACCTGATATTTTGTCATTATTTTTAAAAGAATGCGTAAGTAAGAATAAAAAAATCAAAGAACTTATTAAAAATACTGTTTGCGGAGAACAAAAGAGGCAACGAACTTTTAATTTGTAATTTATTCGTCGCTTGAGATTAAAAAAAATCTAAACTTATTTAGGCAAAACTTCCCTCTCCCCGAAGGAAATAATTATATCAACCAAGTCCAAGTTTGCAGTAAAAGTTCAAAATGTAGTCTTTGTTAAAAAAATTTTTCAATAGGAATAAATACTCAGTGTTGCTATGAATAGTGTGACACACATGACAGCAGAACCCTGTATTCAACATTTTTAATAAAATTCCTTCATTTACTATTGTTTGTGACGTCCTGTATGAACAATTCTAAAAAATATAGAGACAGTATTGAATGAGAAATAAACGAGTACATGTCGTCCTATAAATTTCAACAGTGATATTCCTATGAAAATTCTGAGTTGACGTCATCAAGTATTTGGAAGGAATGAATAGAATAATTTTGATTTGCGATCTACCATATTCGTGGTAACTTGGAATCGAATTTGTAATAATTACAAATAGTTTTAAATTAAATGGTGTAAAATTTTTGTCGTACAGTTTTAATTTTTACTTCCCGAGCATAAAGTAAAGAACTATTTTAATGGGGTCCATCCGACAAATGGCTACTTTCAGGTTTTCGCGAAGTTTCATGACTCCTAGAGCACGAAAAAGTAGGTTTTGTGTTTCTGTTTGTCTGTCGTCTGCCTATATGTCTGTCGTCATTGTCAATTTTTATTAGAGAGGTAATTTCCGAAACTACTGGACCCATTGTTGTCAACCTATGTTAAAAATATCGTCACCACCAGTGGTATGACGCCATTCCCAAAATTTACAATACAAAAATGTTACTCTATTTAAATTTTATAATATAACAAACTCCTGAACTTGTGGTTTATGAATATGTGTTGAGTTTATTCTGGACATCCAGATTCTTGAAAAAAAATTTGTCGAAGACTTTTTCGACAGAACTTCCCTCGCTCTTGAAGTATAATCCCACAAATCCAATAAAATTTGCGCCGTACGGACAATGTAAAATATATTTAAAGCACATATCTAACAGGATAAAATGTCCTTCAGCACTAGGTAATAACAATTTGAAACTCAAGTGTTTATTTATGTTTATACATCGGAAGAATGTCCCGTAGAAATTAGGTTGATTTGAATGAGTTTGCCTTCTCAAAACAGAAGACTAAAATTATTTTTAATTAAACCACAATAGAACAAAATGTTTAGAATATTATAATTCTTAGTTTAACATTATTATGTAAACATGTTCGCATTCTCACATTTTTGAGAAAATGGGGTGAGTCGTTCTTAATTTGACCAATAAAAAATTTGTTATGACGTCATAAACATAGATAATACACAATACGAGAGAAAAAAAGAAAAAAAAAGGAAAAAAGGAAAGACCAAGTTTGGCAACGAACCCGGGACCTCCGGTCAGAATTCCGCACTCTTATCCGCTAGACTACGATCGGGATGTCTTACGCTAACCGTAAACTGGTATTATACCGTGCATTATGTTTTTGCGAAAATCTGGAGGATTAGGGAAAAAAGTCGAAGAGGATTCATACACCACACATATAGGAGTATATTGTTGCATAAGAGTTAAATCAAATAGACATACATTTTTTTAAAATGACGTCATCAAAATGTTGGTGGGGATGATTAGTAAAATTTTGGTTAGCATTTAACCATCTACATGACATTTCTAATATACATACAAAATTTGACAACAGTAGGCAGACAGACAGACAGACAGAGACGGGAGACTACTTTTTTCGTATTGTAGGGATCATGAAACGTCGAGAAAATATAAAACTGGCCATTCGTCCGATGGACCCGATTACTATACTTCTTTAGCTTACGCTCGGGAAGTAAAAATCAAAACTGTATAACATTTTGCAATTTAACTTTTAAACTGCAAAACGGAATGTGTTGAGATCTTGCAAACGTTTTAAGGTCGACGTAGATATTGTAAATCATTAATAAAAATTAATCCGTTTATCCTTCCAAAAAAATTGATTACGTATTCACAAAATTTTCCAATGGAAAAACTCACTTGAAACACACGCATAATGTGCTTCTATATTTGTATTTTAACAATCCATACCTATGTCTTTTTAGCTATCTTGTTTTTAGCTTATAGGGGTCACCATAAATAAAATAAAATCCTCAAAATTAAATTTTATAATTTTTTGAAAAATCTATATTTGTTCACCTACATTTCAGGCGCGAAAGAAGTTCTGTCTAAATAACTTTGAACATTTTTTTTTCCAAATATTTACGAGCATAAGGGAAAAAAGTGAATCAATAATAACACTAGTTTACAAATTTAAACTTTTTTTCGTATCCAAAAATAAAAAAAATATTTTCTACTTCTAAATTACTTACTGATAACAAATCCAAAAACGGATAATCCCTATCACGTCAGGTTTTTTTATAAATCCAAAATAATGAACTTTGCTTTTACCTTCTTGTTAGTGTTAAACTGATTCATGTTAATGCACCATGTCGCATAAAAAATGTCTTCGAGATTGTGCAAAGTAAGTGGAAATCAGTTTTCTTACGTTTGTGGTAAAATTATAGTACCTAAAGCTGGAAGACCTGTTCAAATATGCTTAAAAAGAAGGTATCAAGGTTTTTGGGATGAAAATGTGTTACTGTTGGTCTATTATAAGGGAAACTGACAGTACTGCCAATAAAAGAAAGTGTTAATCATTTTTAATTTTCAGTCATAATGTTTATAATATATACTGGGTGTTGCTTTTATTTGATACAACCCCTGTAACTTCTTTATTCTTAAAGATAAACCTATACTTCTTTGAGCAAATTTGTATCATTTTAAAAGATCTTTGTGAGGCCAATCTCACATTTTTATTATCACTTCCCATAGAAAAATCAAAAGCAACCAATTATTCTAAAATCAATACTTGAAAAATTTTAAATAAAAGATTGATGACAATCTAGCTTGAAAAATTGACTCATGTTATTTATTTACGTAAATGATCTTTTAAAATGATACAAATTTGCTCAAAGAACTATATGTTCATATATATTTAAAAATAAAAAAATTACAAGAGTTGTCTAAAAGAAAAGAAATACGGGGTATGTTTATATAAATATCTCAAAAACCTGACGTGATGGATTTTTTCTGCTTTCAGATTTGAATTTCCCGAACCCAAATCCTTTAGATTCAACTATTTTTGTTTTTGGATATAAAACCTTGTAAACTAGTGTAATCAGCACCTGATGAGGTAGACGGAAAAGGGGGACCTAATCTTTCATATTCTAGGACCTATAAAACGTCGAGAAATCATGAAATTAGTCAACTAGATCGTATTGCAATACTTTTCTTGTGTCTAGGAAAAGCCGATAATTCCAATTTACCTTTCATATGATATAATTAAATATCATGTTAATATTAATCCAAGTTTTGTGTATTAATTAGGTTTCAATTTGTTT